CATATGCTAATGAGTTATGCTAATGAGTTCCCCTAGCTCTTTTTCTACGAAACGACCCCTGCTTGTAGGAGAACTTTCCCCCCTTCCATATGCCCCATTTGATTTAAGTGGCCTTATTTTGAAGTCTGGGCCCTTTCTGCCTGGAACAGACTGGCAAGAAAGTAAATTCCATTGAGGGTGGGGAGTAGGGCTGCCAAGTCCCCCCGGGGGGCGGGGAAAACCCCGCCCCAACATGTGCATCACCAGGAAGTGACGTTAGGATGCCGAGTACGCTGGGGGCGGGGCCACGACCATCGGGGGGAAACTCTATGGTTTTCCCTCCGAGGGTCGTGGCCCCGCCCCCAGCGTGCTCGGCATCCTAACGTCACTTCTGGGTGATGTGCGTGGAGCACCACAGTGGCGCACCACAGTGGCTGTCATCAAACACAAGTCAACATTTCTAGCGTCCCTGTTGAGTAACTCTGCTAACATTCCTGAAGCTAGATTCAGGTGGGTAGCCATGTTGGTCTGAAGCAGCAGAACAAAGTTTGAGTCCAATGGTTCCTTTAAGACCAACAAAATTTTATTCTGGGTGTCGGATTTCATGTGCACGCACACTTCTTCAGGTACATCGAAACAGGAAGGGCTAATTAGAGTCAAGATGCATAAGTAACTGAGCAATACATATAGGTAAGACTGGATTAAGGCAGTCGGTAAGACCTGTGAATAGTTGCAAATTAGCATACAGCATAATAGAGTTACAAATAGACAGGAGACATGAATGACATTAGTATGTGTAACTAGTATGTGAAACTCTGATCATGCAAACAGGGATCTGTTGGCTGTTGTGGCTTCTTTAACCACTAGATGTCAGCAGTCCTCTTACAAAAAAGAAATACTGAGTTGTGGCTGTATGCAGGGCTGTGCCTATGCGCCCCCCCCCCCCCCCCCCAATTCAATTGCAAACCCCCGGAATGTATAGGTCTTTTGCGCCGTCTTGAGAATATAATGGGTTTGATTTCCCATCTAGCACAGAATTTACTGCAAACTGGAGCTTTTGGCCTCTGTTGGGAACAAGATGTGGACTTGAGAGGCTTTTGGCCATGTAGATGTGAACATGACACATGGAAAAGTTTTTAAAATGCAAAAACCTCCTTGGCAGAGGGATAAATCAAAGGTGGAGTCTGATATCTGGCGAGGGCAGACGAACTGTGAGTAAGAAGCACATGGCGCATGCTTCTCTCTCGCACTCCGCAGCTCCGCAGCTGTTTTGGCTCGAAGAGTGAACATGTTCAGGCAGCTGGCTCCACCCTTTAACCCCCAGCCGACATGAACTTCCAAGGAGGAAGTGAACGGGTCCCGTCTGAAGACGGCTTCTCTTCCTTCACTTTGGATCTCTTATGCTCGCGTTTGGATCTAAAGGTGTGCTAGAGGGGGAACGTTGAAATCCAAGAAGGAAAGTGAAATAACAGCGTTTGTGTGGCTTGTTTAGAAAACCAGTTGAGGAGATCAGAGTCATCGTGGGATTGCTGTTCGGGCCAGGTCAGGTCAGGAGAAGAAGGTAACCGTCCCTAAAAGTTTGGGCTTCATTTCTTTCAGCCTGGGGGCCCTGGATTGGGGTGTTAATTATGATCGCACCAGAGTTACCCAGAACCAAGGCTCCCTCTAAGCTGTGGAGTCTTCTGAGCAAAAGTTCTACTTTGTGAGCTCCTGGCATTAAAGTTGTGAGCGAGCGATTTGGCCGCTGCATAAATTAGTTTGCTCTGGAGCCCTCCTTCCTGAGCTGAGACAAAAATGTGTGAGCCGGAGGCTAAAAGACTGTGAGCTAGCTCACACTAACACAGCTTAGAGGGAACACTGCCCGGAAACTTCTCTTTTTCTACCTAGAAGTGCTGTTAGTTTACGCAATCCGTAGAAAGTTGTTTTTAGCCATGCAAGAGAAGGTTATCTTTTTTAGCCTGTCCTGCCTTTCGATTTGAAGTGCAGGTAGTAGCAGATTATTTTTTGTTGGGGGCCCCCCGGCAAACTAGCACAGTGAAGGGGGTCCTCTCCTCTGGCAGGTTTCCCCTGGTTTCTAGCTGACCAGAAGTCCTTGAGTGTGAGACTTTGCTGAAAGGACCACACAGCGGATCCAAAGTAAGACTCTCTTATGTGCACAGGGTATAACTGAGCTTGGTTGTTTATTCTGTTCATTTATTGAAATATTTGTACCTTTTAGGGTTGCTTGCTCTAAGTAGGGCTTACTTGGGCGACTTGGGGGTGGGGTTTAGGGAGGGGGAGGTACCTTGGTAGGGTATAAGGCCAAGCAGCCCACCTTCCGAAGCGGCCATTTTCTCCAGAAGAAGGGGAGAAAATGTTTTAAATTAATAAATAATAATTTATGTCGCCTGAAGAGCAATGGCAGCGCTACCTCTTGGCTCAAGATAGCTGACGGCAGGAAATGTACCTCGCTTTTCCTTCCTCTAGTCTGAGGAACCTCCTAGGTGTGTACAATTTCTCTCTCCCTCATAAAAACTATGCCACCACTGTATCTGTGGGGAGTGTGCTGGGGAGGGCCTTTTAAAACATGTGATTGTATTGGCGCCCTTCTTACAGTTTTAATCTCTCTGGGTCAAAAGGCAAGAATTAATAAGGGCAGGAGCAGCTGCATTAATAACGACAAGAGCCAGCTATGGCGTAGTGGTTAAGAGCGGCAGACTCTAATCTGGAGACCGAGGTTTGGTTCCCCACTTCTCCACATGCGGCCAGCTGGGTGGCCTTGGGTTAGTCACAAGTTCTCTCAGAGCAGTCCTCGAATGAGCTCTCTCAGCCCCACCTACCTCACTGGGTATCTGTTGTGGGGGGAGGAAGGGAAGGCGATTGTAAACCACTCTGAGACTCCTTCGGGTAGTGAAAGGCGGGGTATAAAAAGCAACTCGCTTCTCCTTCTCCTCTCTTCTATTCCCCCGATCCAGTGCTCATGTCAGAGTCCAAGGGCACTGGGGTTGATAAGAAGAATGGTTTTACCCGTTCTCCCAGCGCAGGCCTGGATTGAATCGTGGCCCTGTGCAACGCCTCTTGCCCTTCAAGCAGACAAACGCATCGTCTTTCGGTTTCATGTCTCCCTTGGCCCTTGAGGAGGGGCAGTCTAGCACGCGGAAGGGTTGCTGGGCCAGGGGCAGGCCAGGATGTTAAAGCAGCCCGTTGCAAGCCGAGCCACACGGCCCCTGCGGTGTCAGCCGCTCCACAAGGCCATCCCAGCTGCGGTGCCCCTCTGAGCCGAGCACTCCCTCTGCATGGGATCCTAGGCGGCCCTTGAGGTGGGGTTGCCAACTCTGGGTTGGCAAATTCCTGGAGATTTGGGGAGGGGGGCCTGGGGAGAGTGGGGAACTCAGCACGGCACGATGCTAGATAGTCCACCCTTTGAACCTGCCATATATTTTTTGCCCCCCGTAGGGGATTTTTTATTGCATTTTCTATAAACTACAATGAAACAAGGGAAGGTGTCTGCAAACTATGGGTGAAAGTAAAGAAACCTACTAAAAACCCAAGAGATGGAGGTTATACAATGCTTAAACAAATTAGCTTTGTCTTTTTTTTTAACAGACAAAATTTGTAAACGTTGAAAGTGATCTTCAAATCTTTCGCTTGTGGTGTCCAATCCAGTAAATCCAACTATACAAAGAGCAATACAAAAGATCAATTATTACACTGCTTTAGCAAACAACGGAAAACATCAGCATCTCATATTAACAATCTCATTCCCCCCAAAAAAAGCCTTATTTTGGGGGGGGGAAATCACCCCATATTAAAGTCAAGTCCTCTTCAGTAAGTGTGATTTCTATCTTGTTTTCTCTTCCTTCGTTACAATCTTCCTCTACTTAGTCTTCTACTCCCATTGTCCAATGTTATTGCAGCATTGATGATAATCCAATTTTTAAGATTAGGTTCGTTTTTCTATTGTTGTTGTCCCTTTAAACATTAACATTTGTGGTCATCATATCCTCTGGAGAATCTAAGTCTCACTGGGCAGATCTGAACCTGCCATTTTCTGCAGGGGAACGGATCTCTGTTGTCTATAATTCTGGGAGATCTCCAGGCCCCATCTGGAGGTTGGCAACCCTTCCTCAAGGGCAGTGGTCTACCTAGAACTTAAATTAAAGGGCCAGGCCTTCTGCTGCCACTCTGTGCCAACCTCAGCCAGATCTTCCGCATTCTCATTTTTGTCCCTCGTTTGTTCCTGTTGCTTGGGTCCCCACCAGCATTCCCTCTAAGCTGAGTTAGTGTGAGCTAGCTCACAATTTTTTAGCCTCCGGCTCACACATTTTTGTCTTAGCTCAGGAAGGATGGCTCCAGGGCGAACTCATTTATGCAGTAGCCAAATTGCTCACTTACAACGTTAATACCTGTAGTTCACAAAGTAGAATTTTTGCTCACAAGACTCCACAGCTTAGAGGGAGCACTTCCCACCAGTGTTCCCTCTCAGCTGAGTTAGTGTGAGCTAGCTCAGAGTTTTTTAGCCTCCGGAAGGATGGCTCCAGAGCAAGCTAATTGATGCAGCAGCCAAATGGCTGGCTCCCAACTTTAATGCCCATAGTTCACAAAGTAGAATTTTTGCTCACAACACTCCACAGCTTAGAGGGAGTATTGGTCCCCACCCACCCCCTTTTCCACATGTGTTTTGCTCCATCTGGGACTACTAGAGAAAGCAAAACACATTTGGGGGGGGGGGAAGTCACAGAATGCTACACCCCCAAGATGGTGTTTTTAGTTCTCTGTCCTATTGTGCTGCCAAAGAGATAGCCAGCAGGGGTCAGCATCCTTGATGTGCAAATAGGGGTGTTAACCTACATTTCTTTTGAAATATACAAATATACAAGTCAAGCTCTGGAGCATGACTTCCCAAATATACAAATCCCACTAGTAGGAAACACCATCAAAGATTGCCAAAACAATATATTAAACAATTATAGAGTTGGTGTTCTTTTGAAATGTTGCAGAGTAATACTGGTCTCTCCCTTTGAGAATAATGAAGTTGGAAGACAGATTATTAATTGGGTGAATAAATATTTCGGGAATTTATTTCTTATATTTTTATCCTGCCGTTCCTTGAAAGAGCCCAGGGACGTATACATGCTGGCGCTCCCTCCCCTTTTAGAAGAGAGAAGAGATGAAGAGATTGGATTTATACTCCGCTCTTCACTATCTGAGGGAGTCTCAGAGCAGCTTACAATCTCCTTTCCCTTCCCCTCCCCACAACAGAGACCCTGTGAGGTAGGTGGGGCTGAGAGAGCTCTCTTGAGAACTGCCATTGAGAAAATAGCTCTGAGAGAATTTGTGACTGGCCTCCACATGCAGCTGCTGGGTGACTTGGGGCCAGTCACAAATTCTCTCAGAGCTATTTTCTCAATGGCCAGTATTACTCTGCAACATTTCAAAAGAACACCAACTCTATAATTGTTTAATATATTGTTTTGGCAATCTTTGATGGTGTTTCCTACTAGTGGGATTTGTATATTTGGGAAGCCATGCTCCAGAGCTCTGGCTCTTTTCCGCCAGCCGTTTAACCTCCCCTGTCAGGGCCTTCACCTTCTCAGTCTTTTTCGTTGTTGCTTCCACCTGGCACTTGTACTGGTCTTTTTAATTATTTATTCTGCTGCTTTGGCTGTTATACTATTTTAATTGCTGCTGCTTTAACGTCTTAGTCACTGTTAGTGCTGGGGATTTTTAAAATCGCCACGACATTCTTCTCAGCTGTTTCACTGATGGACCGTAAGCCTCCTCAAGAGCTTCTCTGGTTGAGTGTGTGAGCTGGGTTCAAGGCCCGGAGAGCTCCTTAGAGACCCGACAGCCCAAGACCAACAAGAGTTTCAGGGTGGAAGCTTTTGAGAATCAAAACTCCCTTCATCAAAACGCTGACGCTTGAAAGCTTCTACCCTGAAACTCTTGTTGGTCTCAACGGGGCTACCAGACTTGAGTCAGACTCTTCCACCACTTAGAAACCCTTGGCCAACTTTTCCAGCCATCCCAGAAGGCAAATTAGTCCGTTGCTCTGTGATCTGCAAAACCAGCCAAGTCTCTTGGCATGGGTTATCTCACCTGAGAGAAATTAACATCTTCTCAAACCAAACAAAGGCCTGTTCAGAATGCTGTCACTCACAAGCACCAACTTACTACCCTGATAAGAGAGGAATGTTCCCTGTTGTCCTTTGACTGTTTTTATCAGCTTTAGAGTCAAAGATAAGTTCTGATTCAGTCTTAAGCACTGACAGGAAAGGAGCGTAGGGACTGCTTTAAACAGGGACCTTTGGACCCCACAAAGCAGACAGACCCAAATCTGATTACTGTACTGGAGAAGTGAATCTGGAATAAACACCATTAAAAGGTCACTGGCCCAGTCACAACCCCTCTGGGCAGAACGTGCCTCAATGGACTGTTGTGAGCCAGTTTGCTGTAGTGGTTAGGAAGGTGGACTCTAATCTGGGAGAACCCGGTTTGATTCCCCACTCCTCCACATGCAGCTGCTGGGTGACTTGGGGCCAGTCACAAATTCTCTCAGAGCTATTTTCTCAATGGCAGTTC